CCATCTGTAAAATGGGATGATCACAGTTCCTGCCTTTTAGGGACCGAAGGAGGCTTTTATGTCATTGTATATTCAAGGGCTGGCTGCCCTTATTAATAACAGAGCTGCCTTCCCTGATCTGTTTATGAAACTCCCCACCATCCTTCCTGGCTTTATTTTTCTTCCCAGCACTCGCAACAGCCTCTCGAAATCCCTGTTTATTTCTGTTTTCCTGTGTCTGTCTCCTTGACCATAACGTGAGTCCCAGAAGGCAGGGACCATGCCTGCTTACTCTGTGACCCCGAGTCTGCGGAGTTTGGGTGTGGGTCACCGTGAGGCTGTGGGTGGGAGCCTCTGTGCGCCATGTAATTGGGCTGCAGTGTTTCTGCCTGACTGTGTCCCTGGGGTGGTGTGTGGTTGTGTGATGGTATTCAAGTCCAGACGCATCCCAGGGAGAGTCTGGCTGGGTTATTGTGTTAGTTAATGTTGTGTGTGTGTGTGTGGTTGTACTGTTGTGTGCTGGGGTCTGCCTCCCAGCGTAGCACTGTGGTTGTATAGTCTCATTGTGTGTCTTGCCCCTGCCATGGTGACGTGTGCTGTTGTATCACTGTGTAATTGTGTGCCTTTGTCTCTTGGGAGCAGGTGGAGCTGTCTGTTGCTGTGTGCGTACCTCAGGGGGCATTAATGATCCTGTGTGTGCAGCTGTGCGGTTGTGCATCAGCGTCCCTGACCAAATCCAGCGGTTTGTGCTCTGTATATAATCGTGTGTCCCAGTGAGCAGGATCTCAGGGTGGGCTGCTGTAGCTCTGGCTGGATATGGGTGTGTTGTGTTATTGTGCGTCCAGGGTACATTTGCGTGTTCCGCCGCATGGCCGAGGAGAGGTGGCAGTCATTGTGAGTTGCGCGTTTGGAGGTGTTGATGTTGTGATCCCGCTGGGTATGGGCTGGGCTGTTGTGTGTTGAGAGTTAGTGTGTTTTTGTGTCGTTGTGAAGCAGAAGAGAGGTGTGTGCTGTGTTGTGTTGTGTCTCTGGTTGGGCTGTGGTTTGTCTGGATGTGCAGTGGTTTAGCCAGATGAGGGTGAGAGCTGTGTGTTACCATTTGTGTGTGTGTGTGTACACATGTGTGTGTGAGGGAGAGTTAGCAAGCAAGGAATGGTTTCCCAGCCCCAGAACCATGACTAATGCCTCCAGCCTCCCCCACTTCTTGGCGACAGAGACCTCTTTGTTCTCAGTGGCAGAGAGGGGGTGTTTCACTCTTCAGGCCCCTGGCAAATTCTCAGCCTTAAATCCGGTCAACAAAACAGCCTCTGGGCATTTTCCCTGTGCCCAGCCACTTGCTGTGTGTTTGAGAATGTCGGACTGGGGACAACCAGAGTGGGTGGGGTAGTGATGGGGAGCCCTATAGGGACTCTGGCCAGCCTGAGGGGTGTGGGTGGGCTTCCTTGAGGACAGCATTGTTAGAAGATAATTTTGGGGAGAAAAGACTCAGGGAAGAGACTTTGGGGAAACCAAGACTCATACAGATCTAAAAGTGAAGACGTGTTAAAGATTTCATTTAACACTGTGAAGTGTCACAACTGGTTCAGAGGAGACTCAAGGAACAGGCACACTGACTTCCCTAGAAGTCCAGTGGCTAAGACTCCACACCTCTGGTGCAGGGTTGCAGGTTCAATTCCTGGATTGGTGTGGCCAAAAAATAAAAAGTTAAAAAGAAAAAGGATGCATTTATAGATCAGAGATAGTGAATCAAAAATGCAAGTAGAGGCAAAACATCCTGGGGGGGGGAGTCTTATGGTCTCAAAATTTGTGTTTCCCCCAAATTCATATGTTGAAATTCTGTTCCCAAAAGATGATGGTATGAGGAGGTGGGGTCTTTGGGAAGTGCTGAAGTCATGAAGGTGGAGCCCTCATGAGTGGGATTAGTGCCCTTAGAAAACAGGCTCCAGGGAGATCCCCAGTCCCTTCCACCTGGTGAGGTCACAGTGAGAAGGTGCCAGCTATGAACCACGAGAAGGTCCTCCTTCAACCATGCTGGCAGCTTGATCTTGGACTTCCCAGCCTCCATAACTGGAAGCAATACATATCTGTTGTTTATAAGCATATAAGCTGTAGAATTCTGTCATAGCAACCCAAATGGACTAAGGGAGGTAGGGTTTTCCTTCCAGACAGAATTTATGTGCATACCTCTACAGAAGATTTATCGTGGGATTTCCCTGGCAATCCAGTGGTTGAGACCCTGAGCTTCCAATGCAGGGGGCTCGAGTTCCATCCTGGTTGGAAGACTAAGATCCCATACATGCTGCATGGCACGGCAACCTCCCCCCACCCCAAAAAAAAAACGCGAACAACCAAACAAAAACAGATGTATCTTGTGTTGCCATCACTTACCTACAGTTTATGGAGTTGTAAAACAGACCCCATAGAATCAGGTAACTCTGAATGATTGGTTACAGTTTGAATTATCTCCCACCCAAAATTCATCTGTGAAGTCCTAATCCCCAGAAGCTCAGAATGTGACCTTGTTTGGAAATAGGGTTGTTGCAGATGTAATGAGTGAAGAGGAGGTCATTTGGCATAGGGCGGGCCCTAACTTAAAATGACTGGGTCCTTACAAACTGGGGAAACTTAGACCCAGACATGTGCACTGGGAGAGGGTCATATGAACGTGCAGGCAGAAACTGGGTGATGCGCTTATAAGCCAAGTAACACCAAAGACTGCCAATCAAACACCAGAAGCTAGGGGAGAAGCAGGAACAGATTCTTTCTCACAGCATTCAGGAGAAAACAACCCTGCTGATACCTTGACTGCTGACTTCTGGCCTCTAGAACCATGAGATAAATGTCTGTGGTTTAAGCCACTTGGTTTCTGGTGCTTAGGGATGACAGTGATGATTAGCAAACTCAGTCCAGAAGTCATGTACGGATGTGAGAGTTGGACCATAAAGAAGGCTGAGTGCCAAAAGATTGATGCTTTCGAACTGTGGTGCTGGAGAAGACTCTTGAGAGTCTCTTGGACAGCAAGGAAATCAAACCAGTCTGTCCTAACGGAAATCAACCCTGAATATTCATTGGAAGGATTGATGCTGAAGCTGAAGCTCCAATACTTGGGCCACCTGATATGATGAGCCGACTCAATGGAAAAGACCCTGATGCTGGGAAAGATTGAAGGCAGGAGGAGAAGGGGGCGACAGAGGACCAGATGGTTGGATGGCATCACCTACTCAATGGACAAGAGTTTGAGCAAATTCCAGGAGATAGTGAAGGACAGGAAAGCCTTGTGTGCTGCAGTCCATGGGATCGCAAAGAGTGACCACATAACTTAGCGACTGAACAACAACAACAGATGTATTAATAATATGGAGAAGGCAGTTTACTGAGACACAAAAATTCTCCTACAATATGTTGGAACTGATTCCTGGAGGATGAGCAGGATCAGGCAGCAGGGGAGGGTAGAAATAGCTATGCAAAGGCCCAGAGGTGGGTGAGTGGATGAGGTCCAAGATTCCTTGTGGCTAGGGCGCTGAGAGGGACCCGAGGGAACAATGGAACCAATCAGGAGTGGGGCATGCCAAGTCTTGGGTTATTTTGTTGCGGTTTTTTTTTGGGGGGGGGCCAAGCTTCCCCTTCAGTTCAGTTCAGTCGCTTGGTCATGTCCGACTCTTTGAGACCCCATGGACTGCAGCACACCAGGCCTCCCTGTCCATCACCAACTCCCGGAGTTTACTCAAACTCATGTCCATCGAGTCAGTGATGCCATCCAACCATCTCGTCCTCTGTCGTCCCCTTTTCCTCCTGCCCTCAATCTTTTCCAGCATCAGAGTCTTTTCCAATGAGTCGGTTCTTCACATCAGGTGGCCAAAGTATTGGAGTTTCAGCTTCAGCATCAGTCCTTCCAATGAATATTAAGGACTGATTTCCTTTAGGATGAACTGGTTGGATATCCTTGCTGTCCAAGGGACTCTCAAGAGTCTTCTCCAACACCACAGTTCAAAAGCATCAATTCTTTGGCACTCAGCTTTCTTTATAGTCCCACTCTCACATTCATACATGACTACTGGAAGAACCACAGGTTTGACTAGACGGACCTTTGTTGGCAAAGTAATGTCTCTGCTCTTTAATATGCTGTCTAGGTTGATCATAACTTTTCTTCCTAGGAGCAAGCGTCTTTTAATTTCATGGCTGCAGTCACCATCTGCAGTGATTTTGGAGCCTGCAAAAAATAAAGTCTATCACTATTTCCACTGTTTCCCCATCTATTTGCCATGAAGTGATGGGATCAGATGCCATGATCTTAGCTTCCCCTTAATAGATCCCAGTTTCCCCACTAGGGGCTGAACCCTGGGCACCATAGTAAAAGCCTGGAATTCTAATCGCTGGGCCACCAGGGCCTTCCGAGGCTTGGGTTTTTGCTCTGAGCACCCTGGGAGCCTGAAAGACACCTGATTATGGGACACTGATTACGCCCGGCTGCGTGTTAACTGCTCGGCATCACAGGCTGGTTATAGTGACACCTGCCCAAGACCACTGAGATCACACAGCCGGCAGCAATGGGGGGTAGGAATTGAACCTAGTCTGCCACGAGTCCCGAGATATCAGGATCACCGCAGGTGAGGATCAGGGAGTCAAAGACGGAAGCTGGGGCGGGAAGAGCTCCGGCAGGGCAGAGGGCAGGGACTTTGGCTATTTTTTTATTGCTGTATCTTCCGATGGTATCACCGACTGAATGGACATGAGTTTGAGCAAGCTCTGGGAGATGGTGATGGACAGGGAAACCTGGCCTGCTTCAGTCCAGGGGGTCGCAAAGTGTTGGACGCGACTGAGTGACTGAAGTGAGCTGTATCTTCAGAACCTTTGACTGCAGCAAAGTACCCAATAGGTATTTGTATAAATGGGTAAACATTCTCTGAAGGCATTTATGCCCGGAAGAGGAAACTGAGGCTCAGAGAGATGCATCGGCTTTCTAAGCCCTTATAACTCAGCTGCCAACTTCTAGCACTTTCTATGAACCCCTTGCCTCGAAGAGGTCTGGAAGGCGCCAAAGGATGGGTGGATTGGCGAGGCCGAGACTTCAGTGCTGATCAGGCGGCGCCCGGGGCTGGATGCCAGGCTTTATTTAATAAGGCAGCGGGTCCCCCGGACCGCTCATTGAAAAAAACCTCAGCTTCAGGGGCTGCCCACGTGTACCCAGAATCCTTTCGAAGTCGGCCCCCTCTTCCTGTCAGGCCGCCCTCAAGGTCCTCGCAGCGAAACGAGCAAGGTCAGTTGCAATTACGTTTGCAACCAGTAGCGGTTGGGCCTGAACCCCCGCCCCACGAGACCGTACCATTCTGGCTCAGAGGGGGGGGCCCGGGAGCAAGGTGCGCAGAGGGCTCTCCTGAGGACCCCCTCAGCCGGGGTTTTCCCTGGCTTCACAGCAGGAGAGGGGGAGATTTGCGTGGGGGGCTCAGGGAGGTGGGCGGCAGGGTTCCCGTCGCCTCCGCTCCGGGGGCCTCCCCTCATCCCCCCTCCCCCGGCGTTGGTCCGCGCTGCGGAACGCTGAGGGCCAGGCTGTGTGCGCACGCCCCGCCCGGGCGCAGACGTCGCCCTGCCTCGCCCGGGTTTGGATCTTGAGTCCGCGCCGCAGCGGGCACCGGGGTCCGGAGCGATGGCGGTAGTCGTCCGAGTGGTTTATTGGTGAGCACGTGGGCCAGAGGTGCCCTCTTCGAATTCCGCCCGGGCCCCGCCCTGTCCCGGCGGAGCTGGGCTCTGGGGGAGTCGAGGGTGCGCGGCGGGGGGGTGGGGGCAGGACCCTTGGAGAACCTTGCACTGGGGAGAGGGTTCCGTGTGGGTGCGGTGGGCGTGGGAGGAGGCGGAAAACGGGACGTTGATTTCTCGCCCCCCCACCCCGTCCCCAATTTGTGACATTCTAGACGTCTCAGGTCCTAAAAGGTAGAACTGAGACATGTGTGTGTCGTTTTAAACCCCTCCCCCGCCTCCGATTCCCGGGTTCAGGGTGGGGAGCAGGTGGGGGTCGGTTTGTAATGCAAGAGGAACCTCCCTGGGCGCTTCGGTCTCCCGGGTGGGGCCGGCCAGAGTCAGAAGGTTCCAGATCGTCCCGGCCTGGGTTGGGCAAGGACTCAAACCCAGACGGTGGATGCTTTTTTGCTGTTAACCCTCCTCGTTTTCTGACCCCACTTTTCCCATCCGTAGAGGGAATGATTTTTTTGAAATTTATTTTAAATTGTAACATCATTGCTTTACCATATTGTGTTGGTTTCTGCCATATGTCACCATGAATTGGCCGTAGGTGTGCATATGTCCGCTCCCTCCTGAACCTCCCTCCCACCCCTCTAGCCTGTCGTCTTAATGGTTATGGCTGAGGGAGTGGGGTGTGTTGGGTGTTACACATTTGATCTAATTGCCCGCTTTAAGGGTGAAAACGTGTCTGCTCGGCAGGAAGTGTTCCGTCCCTTGGACGGTGTCATAGCCCTGGCGCCTTGGATTGTACTGACCTGCACAGGCATGCTGGTCTGTGGGCGCTTAATAAATACATGTTCCCTGAATTTCCTTTCCCAGAAACTCCTTGGGCAGGGATTTTAGCTCCATTTTACAAGTGCGGAAACCAAGGCTGGGAGTGGGGCACGGACGGATCACAGGGGTAACCCGCACCTGGGTCTGTTGGCTGGCCTGTTTGAAAGGTCCACTTGGGGCGGGGGAGGAGGGTCCCTGCCTGGGGGTTTGAAAGGTTCAGGTCTGTCCCTGCGTTAGTGAGCAGTGTTCCTGCCCGCTGAGTCAAGCAGAGGTAGAGTGACATTTTGAGGCGCCTCCCCTTCCCCGCCCCTCCCCTGTGCCCCAGACTCCGGTCCCGAAATAGTCTGCAGAGGGGGGGTGGGGGGAGGTGGGGAGGCGGGGAGGCGGCTTTCGTTCACCCTCAGGCCTTGGAGGGCCTTGGGAATCCTGCAAACTGCTGTGGGTGGGGCTGCTGCTGTTGGGCAGCTCTCATCCTGACCTGGCTCTCCATTTTGCCTCCCTCTCCCCTCTGCCTCGCGCTTGTGGTTTCTCCTTGTCGCCCCTGATTCTGTGCACTGCCCCCCCCCTCATGCTGTCTCTTGTCTCCCTTGCTCTATGCATTTTCCTCGTGTGGCTGGCTCTCTTCCTGTGCTTCCCCATCTCTGGGCTGCACCCCCCCCCCGTGTACCCCCTTGTCTTTCCTCTTTTGAGAGAGTGTCTCCTCCTCGTATCATCCATGTCCCTCTTCATCTCTTCCTGCTTCCTCCCCCCATTTGCCTCCTTCTCCTTGCCTGCCTTGCCTCTCCCCTCCCATCCCTGGATCCCCGCTGTCCCCTTCTCTCTCCCCTCCCTGGATCTCCACTGTCCCCCTCCTTCTCTCCTGGGACCCACTTTCTTGGACACGCTCCCACCAGTGGCGCTTGAGGCTACAAGCCCAAGGTAAGCGATGTGGTCCCAAGAGGCTTCCCTGGAAAGTGGGGGAGGGGGGCTAGCCCCGGGGTGGGGGGAGGTGGGGCACCCACGTGGCTCCTGTGGGCCCTGGTGTGACCACCCACCCCTTTCCAGTATCTTCAGCTCAAGAAGAAGTTAGAAGATGAGTTCCCTAGCCGTCTGGACATCGTGAGTCTCGGGGAAGGGGAAGGAGTCAGACGTGGGTTCTGTCTGTCTGTCCCTCAGCCCTGGTGGTAGCGGGGGTGGTTTGGGTCAGCCCCCCCTTCCCCCCGTGTTCTCCCTTCCCTGAGAAGGGGCAGATGTCTGCAAGGGGGTGTCTCTACCCCTCCAGCATCTCTTCCTTCTCCCCAGTGCGGTGAGGGGACTCCCCAGGTCACCGGCTTCTTTGAAGTGTTCGTAGCAGGAAAGCTGGTTCACTCCAAGAAGGTATGTCTGTCCATCCTGCCTCATTGGGGGCCATTGGGGGGTTGGGACTGGGATTGGCCCACCCCTCTCCTGGTCCTTCCTTTTCCAGGGAGGCGATGGCTACGTGGACACGGAGAGCAAGTTTCTGAAGCTGGTGGCCGCCATCAAAGCTGCTTTGGCTCAGGCCTGATGTGCCCTGAAGGCAACGGTGAGGGGGCCCCTGCCCGAGGCCACAGACCTCACCTCTGGTTCCCAATGGATTCCAAACCCAAGGACTAGTTTCCAGCCCAGTACATTCCAGAACAGGTAGCAATCTCCATTTTGTTCTCTGGACCATAGCACTGCTTTTCAGCATCTTCTGAGCCTGGTTTTCAATGTTCGAGCTTCTGTGTTCCAGATGGGCCCCAGACCGAGCCTACTCTAGAACTGGACCCTGGTCACTAACCTAGTCCCTAACCAAGCTCTGACTCCTGGCTTTTGAGATCCTGGAAGCAGTTTCCACCCCCTTCTAAGCTTGAGTGCCAGTTCCCGCTCAGTATGCTAGAACTGAGCGTCTGTCCCAGGACCCAGCCCCCTGCCCCCAGCACACTTTGCACCAGAAACTTGGTTCTCAACTGCTTTGACCTCAAGTTCTGTTTGTCGTCATGCTCACCGGAGCAGAATGAGGCCGCTTTCAGTGGGAAATTTGACCTGCAGATTTGAATTAATGCAGTACAAAAATACAAATGCCTTGCCTCTTATGCAGGTTTGAAAAGGAGGGAGTCTCCCCAAAGTATACAAAAAAAATCAAGAATTGCATAATTCCAAAAAAAAAAAAAGATGCACAAAGAAAAAGGAAAAAAAAATTCCATAATTCCAGGGCAGCATGAGCTGGCTACCTGTGGGCTGTTGCTGTCAGGAGGGAGGGGGTGCCCCTTTGAGGGGGACTTGAATTCTTAAATGGAGCACATCCCTTCCTGAAACACACCATTTGCCACCTCCACACTGTCAGTCACTCAAAGGTGTTTGCTTAAATTAGCATGAGGTTTGCTTGGATTCTAGAAAAGTCCACCAATGATGATTTTATCTAAGATAAGCCAAGATGGGATTCATATAAAAGAGAGGGGAAGGAGTGACTCTTGTTCACAGGTTGAGTGCAATTTCAGGAGCCCTGAAATCCCCCCTTAGGCTCAGCGATTCTTGCAGGACTCAGCATACAGCAGAGCTGTTCCACTCCTGGTTAGAGTTTATTACAGGGAAAGCTTAAGAGAGGAAGGGCAGGGAAGCGACTGGCTTTCATCCAGCCTCTCCCGGTAGTCTGAACCCCCCTCCTCGCCTCTTCTCTGCACAGACCAGTAACTGTGGCCCAGCCCCTCCCGGCAGACGCTTCATGACAGGAAGGACTGAAATGTCTCTTGGACGCCTGGTCCTTCCCTGATGTTCTCCCGGCCGCCGGTTGGGGCAGAGATGGACACCCCTGGTCTTTGCCTGTGTGTGTGTGTGGGAGTGCGTGTGTGTCCCCGCACGCTGGTCCTGCTGCCTTCCCCGTCCCTCATCTCCCTGCATCTCCCCCCACCCCCCACCCGGCCCTTGTCTTCCCTTCTACCCTGTGGTGTTTGGGGTGGTCCTTCTCCAGGCTTCCTTTTCAAGGGGAAGCCGAGAGGAGGATCAGGATGAGTGAGTCTCAGATTTCAGCAGTGATGGCAACAGTTCACAGCTCAATAAATGATGATGAGGTTAACAAAACAGGCCTGTGTCTGTGTGTCCATTTTGCTCCTGGAACCTCCTCCCCCTGGTCTCCACTCCAGGACATTAGTGACTTGGGAGTACGGAGCTAGGACCAACTCAGGGTTGGGCTTCTCAGTGGCCCCTCAAGCCAAGGTGGAGGTGGTCTCTAGACGCCCCCTGGAGCTGTCTCGGGTGTGTGTCCTCCAGGGTGAGGCGGGTTCCTGGTTCCTGTGTTCAGGAGGTAAATGCAGTGATTGGGAGAAAAGTGCTGGGTGGTGTGTTGGACCGTGTCCCTCACGTTTCACTCCTGCCTCACCTCCTGGCTTTGAGTTTGATCCCGTGACTTGCTCTGGCCAGTGGAGTGAGGCAGACGTAACCACGTCAGGTCTGAGCCTGGACCTTCGGAGGCCAGGTGCTTCTGCCAGTGTGAGGACCCTGGGAAGGGCCTGGGAGTCTCTCGGGCCCACTTCTTGAGTCTCTCATGTGGCAGAACGGTAAGAGTGATGGCAGTCTGGCCACTGATGTCCTTCTGTACACACCTCAATTTAGTTTGAGGGAAGACCCACCATGGTCAACTTTGGAACATTTTCACCACCTCAAGGAGAAACCCTCACACTCTAGGGCACCCCCCAAGTACTGAGCACCCCTCTGGTCCCCAGCACTCCCCCCGCCCCCCGCCTGGAGCAACCACTAATCTGCTTTCTGTAGATTTCCCTATCAGGAGATTTCATAAAAATGGAATCATGTAACATGTGTGGTCTGTGTCTGGCTCCTTTTGCTTGGCATAATATTCTCAAGGTTCATCCATGTCGTGATGATCGGCACGTCATTCATTTTTATGGCCGAATGATTTTCCACTCTGTGGACCACCATTTCACCACCTAAATTGGTGAACATTTAGGTTGTTTGTATTCCTTGGTTACTGTGAATAGGGCTTCTGTGAACTTCTGTGTACAAGTTTTTTGTTTAAACACCAGTTCTCAGTTCCTTTGGGCAGATAGGAGTGGAACAGCTGGGTCAACAGCAATGATTTTTTAAAAAAGAAATTTCCTGGCAGAAGGTCATCTGAAGACCATTAGATTCACTCAGAATTGAGGAACTTTTTCTTTTGTTTGAGGAACTCTGTTTTTGTTTGTTTATTTGGCTGCACTGGGTCTTAGTTGCAGCATGTGGGATCTAGTTCCCTGACCAGGGATTGAACTAGGGCCCCCCTGCCTTGGGATCGCAAAGTTGTAGCCACTGGACTACCAGAAGATTCCCTCAAGAAAGTCTTAATGCTTTTGGTGGCCACAAAGTCTGCACTTATTTCAAATATAACCCAATTAACTAAAAAAATGTCACTCATTCTAGGAGGACAGAAATGAAGTCATTTTACCCCTTGAGCAAATGCACCTGTGCTCTGTAGATCCATACCCAGTATCATCTGGAAAAACTCCCATGACAGCCATCAATAGTACCAACAAGAAGCAAAGCCCTCACAGATCTTCATTGGTGACAACTCTGACAATTCAGTAAATTCTGGCGGTTTAGGTCTAAACCAGGTAGGTGGACTAGGACTCAAGGAAGCTTGATCTTAACCCCACTGGAGCCTGCATGGTGTTACCTTCAGCTCTGCCTTTGGTTTAGCTATGACACATCTTGCCACCAGTTGGTAATTTAAATAACTCAAGACTCTCAAGTCCTTTGTTTAAGCAAGAAATCTAGGGGGTCAGGCTAGGCTGGCTTATGCTTCTGTGGAAACACACAAAACCAAACCCAAATCTCAATGGGTTAACCTAGCACATGCAAAGCCGTCTTCAGGGCAGGTGTCTCCCTGCACCCATTCTGAGACCTAGAGCAGCGTTTGTCCGGTAGGTCTTTGTGATGATGCAATTTCTCTGTATCTGCTCTGTCCAACACCGTGGCCACTGGGCACATGCCACATGGTGCTATGGAGAGCTTGAAAGGTGGTGGATGTGACTGAGGAACTGAATTTTTAATTAACTCATTTATTTTTGGCCATGCTGAGTCTTCATACCTGTGCTCCAGCTTTCTCTAGTTGTGATGAGTGGGGGCTACTCCCTAGCTGTGGGGCACAGGCTTCCCATTGTGCTTCTGTTGTGGCGCACAGGCTTTAGGCATGCAGGCATCAGTAGTCGTGGCCCACAGATTTAGTTGCCCTGAGACATGTGAACTCTTCCCAAACCAGGGATCGAACCTGGGTCCCCTGATTGGCAGGCAGATTCTTAGCCAGTGGACCACCAGGCAAGTCTGGAACTGAGTTTTTATTTTACCTTATTTCAACTGACATTCAAATTCATGGCAAGGGTGGCTCGTGGCTATCTTATTGGACAGTGCAGATCTAGACAGATAGAGATTCTCTTCTCCTGTTGTTGCACCTGGACCCACAGCATCCTCAATCCGCATGGCTGGGGAAAGAAACAGGCACTAGCTCTTAAAGACCTTGGCCAGGAAGTGACACGCATTTCACTTCTAGTCACAGCCCATTGGCCAGAACGGTCACAAGCTCCACCCACCTGTAGAACACACCTGGGGGCGGTGGTCAGGAAAGGGAGGGGAGCCCGAAAAAATAGTAAGCGGTGGAAATATCTACCAGGCTCCTTTTGATTTTGCCTATGCGTGGAGGAGAAAATACCATGACCCTATTGTGGCTTAACCAAGACAATTCACGTCTTCAAGAAAAAAAATTCAGCAGGATTGTCTCTGGAAGCCCTAACTGGGAGAAACACTGAATTCTTTTCCAACAGCGACACCATGTGCCATTTCGGAAAATTGCAGCTTCCCACATCCCCTCGGATCACTCGTACGCACTGTAGAATCACTTCGTGGAATCACTTCCACGAGATTTGCTGTAAAGTGAATGACCATGTTAGGCTTGGTTACATGACACTTTTTTTTTCTTTTGCCATACGGCATGCAGGATCTTAGTTCCCCGACCAGGGATCGAGCCACACCCCCTGAATTGGAAACTTGTAGTCTTTTATTATTATTTTTAAATATACATTTATTTATTGGTTGTGCTGGGTCTTCCTTGCTTTTGGTGGACTTTCTCTAGCTGCAGCAAATGGGGGCTACTCTAGAGTTGCAGTGCGTGGGCTTTTCATTGCGGAGGCTTCTCTTGCTGCTGATCCTTGGCCTGTAGGCGCACAGGCTTCCATAGTTGCAGCGCACGGGCTTTGTTGCTGAGTAGCATATGGGATCTTTCCGGAGCAGGGGTCAAACCGGTGTCCCTTGCATTGCAAAGCGGAGTCATATCCACTGGACCACGAGGGAAGTCTCCCAGAACTTTTCTGTATTTTCCTGTTTTCCTTTCTTTAGTTTTTGGGTTTTCATGTGCTTGGTTTATGCCTCATGGTGGCAAGATGGCAATGTTTAAATGAGAGCTTCAACCAATTACTCTCTCTTTCTTCCCCCTCTGTTTTTGAGGACCATTATGAACCTATGGGTTTTTATGTATCTGACACCTTTCAACCTGCTGCGGAC